TCTAAATGTTTCTTGAGTTCCTCTCCTCTGAAACCAGCAGATTGGAAATTGGCATAAATATGTCTAAGACAGAACCTTTGTGGAGAGTTAGGGAATACATCATCTATTGCATTCAACAATCCCTGTTCAATGCAGTTTAATCTTAAGTGTTACTACTGAATAAGATTTTACTCATGGCAAATGTAAAGAGTAGGTAGAGAATAATACCTTCTGCCTATCAGACATAATTGTGTATTTGCCAAACTTATTATCAGTTCCAATGACTGTTCTCAACTGCGTGAGAAACCATGTCCAGCTGTCTGTCTCTTCCTTATCAACAACACCAAAAGCTATTGGGAAGATGTTGTTGTCGCCATCCCTCTCTGTAGCTGCCAATATCTGTTGGCCAGTGCTTAGCTTGATGAAGCAACCATCCAGACCTGCTAACATGATCACATTAGTGCCTAATTACATCAATGCAAATGATCATATACATCTATGTGCATGAATACTTACCTATAAATGGCATGCATCCATTCAGGAAACCCTCTTGCATGCAAACAAGCAGTAAAATATATAGTGAAACCTTGGGGTAGGAGCTGGGTTTAGTGGGTCCTCATGTGTTGTTACTATGCACCTACTGCCAGGGTTAGTATCTAGCACACACTGTAGGCAGTCCCTTATTATGTGATACTGGTGTTTGTTATCTCCTTGCACTACCTCTACTGCTTGTTTCCTTGCCCCATATGCCAAGCTTTTAGGCACATGGACACCAAACTTCTTCTTAGTGTATGACATAATTGTGTCAACACCAGCTTCAGGGTTGGATCTGACTGTATCCTCACAAACCTTAGCAACCCAACTGACTTTCACCTTTGTGTTCTCTCCACTAGCTCCACAAGTGTGATCCAGGTTTATCTTCTTGATACTGAAAGTTGCCTCATGAGCTATCCTAGAGGCAACTATGTAAAACTGACAACCATGTTTTCTCTCAGAGCACCAAGCAATAACCCTAGTTGGTTCATTTCTGTGATACTCAAAATTCCTAAGAGTCCTCACATGAAAATTTCTAAGTGCTTCTCTGAACTCAACTACATTTTCAAAGCATAAATGCATTGAAAACTGCTCATGTGCATCAGGCCTAGATAGATCATACCATCTCCTCTCCTTCTTCGGCTTCTTCCTACTCTTCCTTCCAGATGGCAGCCTTGGAACATCTTCTTCATCACTTAGGACAAAATCACCTGGAAAATAGTACTCATCAGCTTCAGGGACATAATCTTCAAACTTGATGTGCTCAGGCTCACTGTGAGACTTGCTAGTTGGGCCAGGTTTTCTAACTGGCTTAAGTTTTTTTGCTCATTTTGTAGTTAGAGCACCAGGATCCTTTGCTTCTTCATCTTTAGAAACAATTTGTTCTTCCTGCCAAAACTCAGAAGGTTCTGAGTTTGCTCCACAAATGTGCTCTGCAGTATCTGTGCCAACCTCAGCTTCACTCCTACACCAAGCTTTGTAAGAAATTGTCCGCCCTCTGTAATCACCCCTATAGAACTCAAAATCCGAAGAGGATTTGTCCATATAATCTTCTTCTTCTGGTACATCTTCATCTGCTTCTTCTTCTACATCTTCTTCCACAACTGTTTTCCCCTTGTTCAAATTGCAGCTTTGTTGTGTGTTCAGGTAGGGCTCACAAGGGGTTACAGCTGGCAAACTAGCATTAGAGGCAGGGTACAGAACACCTTCTTGTGAGACTGAGTAAACAACAGGCTCACCAACTTGACTAACGGGGATCAGTTACTCAAGCATAATATGATCCGTATTATCATCTGATGGGCTTGGATCAGTAGCTTTGCTGACAGTGATGTTCAGTAGCTTCTTAGCAACAAATAAGTCAAGCATTTCCTCTAATGCCTCCTCCCTGTCCAGGACCTTCACCCCCTCCTACCCCTTTCCCTCTTCCTTTACACAAGTCAGAAAAGCATCCATTCTATACCCCTCCAACTCAACCAATGCTAATATGGTCAGATAACTGATATCTGAAGAAACTGGATACTTTCTCTCCATATTATCTGTTCCTTGAAAATGTAGCCTCAGGTCCCAAATCTCATCATCTAAGATGTAGGAGATTAAATTGACAAACAATTATTTTTCAAGTAACTGAAACTTAAAACAATAAATAAATGCACTGAACATTACTGCACTATCTTCTAATTACAGTGAATGCACTGACCAAATGCACTGACCTAATGCACTATCTTCTACAGTGACATAACCAATCCAAAGCAGTAGCATGACAACCACAAACAACTACTAACCCTAGTTCAACTACTTGTTTCCTAACAAAAAATATCATCTTCTAACCATAATTTTCAAATTTGAACTAAAGGTATGAATGGCCAATTTTTTTTCTTACCTCACTCCACCAAAGGACGACGCCCACCTGTGGCCGCCATCTGGATCTGTGTGGATGCACTTCGCCACTGCCCGAGCCGCGCGGACTGCCGGATCTGAGCTCGCCGGATCCACCTGAGCGTCAGGCGGTGATGGATGCGGCGACCGCTGCACCGGGAAGCTCGAGCTGCCTAGCCATTTCTCCACCTCTGAATGTCCACCACCCTCTTCGACGGGAAGCTCGCCGTCGACGGCATTTGGCTGCGCCGCCGCCATCGCCAACCTAGGTCAATGCGGGGGAGAGGAGGGGTAGACCGAGAGGAGCGCGGCCCGACCACTTGCTTTGGTTCCCACCGGACCGGTCGGGGGCTAACGGCCGTCAACGGCTGCGCCGTCAGCGCGCGTGGCCACGTGGCCTGACCGGTGGGTCCAGCACGTTAGGAAAACGGTAAAATTGCTAGTCGCGGCCGCTTTGGGTTTTTTGAAACAGCCGACCTCACGTTTGATAGTTTTTTAAGAAAAATTAAAAAGTGATAGTTTTTTGAAATCCTAACCTGTAAACTACTAGTAGTTTTATGCTATTTACTCAAAATCAACGTCAAAATATCGACAACCATCCAAACAAGAGGAGAAATTCTCACCGTCACCAAAATTTTGGTGTTGCTGGTTTTAAATCGCCATCTAAGCGCACCACGGCTACTACAAAACGCCGGGAGGAACGGTCACGTTTCCACCCTGGCGTAGAGACAGGAGCACCGGTACCGTCGCGCATGCGGTCCAATACGTAGCAGTACGTGCCCCCGTATCCCCATCATCAGAACCAATCATGGAAACCACCTAGAAAGATGAGTGGAGTGGAGATACACAACACGATACTACACACGACGTGGTGTACAAGCGTCTCCGTCTCAATCATCAGGGCATCACTCGGAGACGCACGGCGAGGCAGCAGCAGCAGCGCCGCCCCGGAACCCCACGACCACGACGCCACCCCGCTTTCGTTTCCCCCCTTTCTCCTTTCCTTTCCGCTCCTTTGGCCGCCACGAGAGATTAAAGCGGGGAGACGCTCTGATTCCCGTGGGGGATCCCCGGCACCGCACGGCACCAAGATAATCCGTCGACCGATCCGTGATGCAGGTCATCATAATGGCATGCAGCGCACGCTAATTAGTCAGCTGGCCGATGGGCCGGCCCGTACGCAGGAAAGCCAGGAAAATCTTGGCCGGGCGCGCACTAGGAGATGAGACGTGAGGTGGAATTCGCGCGTCGGACAGACAGACTGACTCAGAGCCCCGTGCAGTACTCCGCGGTGCCGCATCTGCTTTGTTGCTGCAACGAGATGAAAGATGCGTGCGCTGTAGCCTCAGCCTGTAGCTTGCCGACTGCTACGAGTGGATGGATGTGGCATAGGCAATGGCATGGCAGCTGCCAGCGTGAGCTGCCCCAGGAAAGCGCGACAGACGGTGTCGCCAGGTGGTAGTGTGTAAGTGTAATCTTGACCGGCTAGAGTGCATCGCAGTCCCTACGTGCTAGTCCTCCACAGCCCACCGCGCTACCTAACTCGTGCATTTGTTTCCCCGCAAAAAAAAAACTCGTGCATTTGTTCCCACGCTTGGGGAAAATAGAGAGTAGTAATATAAAAAATAAAAAATATTCCTTTTGTGATTTGTGTACTTACGATAAGGCCCAGCCGGTCTGGCCCGAACTGAACTAATGGGCTTCTTTCTTCTTCAAGGTTGGAGGTATGGGCTCGCGAGGAATTTGAGCCCAGAATGTGTTCACTCGCCCGCCGGGGAGGAAAAGCGGCCGCGCGAATGTTGTTTCGCCACTCCCTCAGTTTCCCTCTCGTTTCTTCCGCCACCGCACACCCAAATCGATCGATTCAAAAACAAAACAAGTAGGAGTAAAATCGATTCCCCTCTCCCCCCTCGTCGTCTCGTTTAAGATTGGGAGGTCCAGGGAGAAGCAAACGGCGGCGGAGCGGCACCGTCGCGTCGCATCCGATCGGCGCGAGTCCCTCCCGTGCCCTGGGATTGCGATCATCGGTACGCTCTTCTCGAGCTCTTCTTAGTTTTCCTTTTCTCGCTAGATAATGCGTCGCTACTTCATACTTCCCCCCCTTCGTCGGATCGTACTTCTGGTTTCTCCGTTTGATCGTTCCTGTCGAATGCGATGCGACCGGACAATCTGCGATGATCCGTTTGATTTCGCTTGGTGTGGATCAGGGGTGTGATGGTCCTGGTCCCGGCCGCGCCGGCAAGGAAGAGGAGAAATATGGGCTGAAGCAAAGCGGATATCATGTTCTTGTAGCATGCGTTCTCCAAATATGTTTATTTCCGTCTCCTTGAATGGTGTTGGTAGCTACTGTGCTCTGTAAGATTGTAATTAGTGTCTGTCGCCCTGCGGTTCTGCTGTTAGCTGTCTACTTCCCTCATGAATCTGACGTGTTGATGTGTTGCGCCGCTCGTGGAAAAATAATCTTGCGCCGCATTTGGTTTGATGCCTTGTTCCATGCTTTCGCTAGACATGTGATGTGTCTGTTCAGTCGCATTCTCTTTGCAACATTACTGTCCAAGTAAATTAGGACAAGTTCCATTACTCATGTGTTCTGCCTTTTTTGATGCACAGGCATGGAAGACGAGCCTCACAATTCCAATGCCATGGTTGACCAAGAGGAGAGCACAGGCAGCGCCCCTGGCCCAGTGTTCTCGGGTCGAAAGCCGAAGAGGCTCCGGTCGAAGGTGTGGGATGACTTCACCCCCATCTACATCGATGGGAAGCTCGCGAGGGCCGAGTGCATGCACTGCCACCAGGTCTTCAGCAGCGGAACCGGCAACCTGCGAAAGCACCAGGCCAAGTGCTGCCCCAGAGCCCAGAAGAGGGCAATGCAACACAAGCCCCCGTTCTTGTTGACCGGCCAAAACAAATCCTCAGACACAGCGAAGGTTGATCAGAATTTGTCTCACGGGGAGCTTGGGACACATGAGCAGAAGAATCTTGCTTCATGTGACACTCACACTGACAAAGATCGGAAGAATCAGTCGCATGAGGAACTTGCAGTGCCTGACCAGGACATTCCCACTGACATGAATCAGAGGAATCTGAAGGTTGGTCAGATTGAGCCCCATGAGGAACTTGTCAGGATATTTTCTGTGCACGGGTACCCGCCACCGATACAGATCCATGATGGATTCAGTAAGTTTGTTTCTAGCTTGAATCCTATGGTGAAGATGCCGGCCAAAGCTGACATGTATAGGTACTCTAGGGAACTGTTCGACAAAGAAAAAACCAAGCTGAAGGAGAAGTTGGCAGCTTTGAGCAGTCGGGTTTGCTTGAGTGCTTATCTGTGGCATTATGATCTGACCTCAGCGTTCCTATGCTTGAGTGTTCATTACATTGATGATGAATGGGAGAAGCAGAAACATATCATCAGGTTTCACTCTGTGGATCCTTCCTGCAATGCAAAGCAACTGAGCCAGGATATACTGAGTGCTATTGGAGATTGGGGTCTTCGTTACAAGGTTTTCAGCATTACACTGGACGATGTGTTTCTAGATGATTCAGTTGCTTCAGATCTCAAAGCCAGTCTCCAAGAATGGAACCTTCGCTCGGCAAACCGGAGCTCGTGTATGTCTGCAAAACATACCTCATCAATGTCTGCAAACCGTAGCTTGTTTGTGGCACGGTCTCCAATTCATCTAGTTAATCAGGTCATACATGTGGGGATCGATGAACTTCACAAAGTGATGGAGAAGTCAACAAAGTGTTCCAAGCACACAAAGGGCCACATCCCTTCAGCAGTACGGTTTCTGAACTGTGGATATGCACCTTCAGCTGAAGAGTGGAGCAACGCGCAACGTATCTGTAAGATATTGCAGAGGGTGCATATATACATGGATGAGATGAACACCTTTCATGGCCCAGCCGACCTCCTTGACCGGTTATGGGGTGCAAAACGAGCTCTGCATCCAGAGGATAGTTTTTACGGGGACAAAACAGTTTCGAAAGAGCTAAAGAAGATGCAGCAGAAGTTTACTGATGGTAGGACTAGGGTTCCTACCAGGCCTCCGGCGTAGGTTGTATGGACAGGGAGGAGGGGGACGGAGGCTGGAGCGGGCGCGCCGGCGGTCGGGCGCCATCGCGGCTAGGGTTGGGAGAGGCGGCTAGGGTTCCGGCTCCTTGGGGAGCCGGGCAACAGAAGATTATAATATCTTTATTGCTTGATCTCAAACGGTGTCTTACAACTAGTATTTATAACTTTAGCCTAAGATAACTTGCCTAAGATAACTTGCCTAAGATAACTTGCGGGACAAGCCCCTAATACTAATGCCCGGTGGGCCTCTTCCTGGTATAGACCTGTCCGGTCATAACATCTCTTCCCGCCTGCGCAAACAGCTCGTCCTCAAGCTGAAAGTCTGGATAGTGTTGGCGGAATTCGTCATGCTGCTCCCAAGTAGCCTCCTCCTCCGGAAGGCCCGCCCACTGAATGAGGACGAACCAGACGCCACGACGGAGCTGCGCCTGCAACACCTTTGCTGGCTCGGGAAGAATGCGACCATCGGCGATTGGAGGAAGCGCCGGAGGAGCCGCCGGTGGCTCGCCACGAAAAGGCTTGAGCAGCCCAACATGGAAGACGTCGTGGATGCGAGCGCGGGCCGGAAGCTGAAGACGATAAGCCACCTTCCCAATGCGCTCCAAGATAGGGAAGGGCCCGGCGTAGAGAGGGCCGAGCTTGCGCTTCGCACGCGGATCGAGTGACTGCGTAGAGCGGTGGAGAAGACGCAGCCACACCCAATCACCCACCGCAAACTCCGCCTCGCGATGATGATCGTCGTAGTAGTGCTTGGCCAGCTGCTGTGCCTGAAGGAGACGCTGACGAACCTCAGCAAGCATCTTGTCATGACTGCGGATAAGGTCACTTGCAACCTCCGTCCGAGCCGTCTCCGGGTCCACCGGAAGTATAGGCGGGGGTGGGCGACCATAGACCACCTCAAACGGCGTCGCGCGCAGGGCGGAGTGATAAGAGGTGTTGTAGCAGTACTCCGCCCAAGAGAGCCAATCGACCCAAGCGCGAGGCCGATCACCTGTCACACAACGCAAATACATGGCAATGACCTTGTTAACCACCTCAGACTGACCATCTGTCTGAGGATGAAACGCCGCACTCAGGCGAAGCTGGACACCCGTCATCCTGAAAAGGTCGCGCCAGACATGGCCCGTGAACACTGGGTCCCGATCACTGACGATCGAAGTAGGGAACCCGTGGAGACGGACGATGCCGTCGAAGAAGGCCCTGGCCACTGACGCCGCCGTGTATGGATGGCCGAGCGCGATGAAGTGGGCGTACTTGGAGAAGCGGTCGACCACTGTGAGAATGACCGACTTGCTGCCCACCTTGGGAAGGCCCTCGATGAAGTCCATGGATATATCCGTCCAAACCTGAGACGGCACCTCCAAAGGCTGAAGTAAACCAGCCGGCCTCAAGGTCTCCGTCTTGTTGCGCTGGCAAGTCTGACAAGACCGAACCCAGTCGCGGACCAGGGCGCGATCGCAAGGGATGTAGAAGTCGGCGCGAAGACGATGGAGGGTTTTCTGCACACCCTCATGACCCGCCGAGTGGGCGAGCTGTAACACCTGGTGACGGAGATCATCATGCGCCGGAACAAAGATCCGGCGCGCATGGAGAAGCAGTCCGTCAGAGAAGCGCCAAGGCTCCTCCAGGTCGCCGGCCGTGAGCTACTACTGAAGAAGGACGGCATTGTCGGCCGTCGCAGTGGCGTGGCGAATGTCGGCGAAGAGACCGAACGTCGGCCCGGAGCGGATGCACAGGGCCGCCCCGGTGGACTCGTCGGTGGAGGGAGCAAGGTCGGAGTCGCGACGGGACAGCGCGTCGGCCACGATGTTAAGACGGCCCGGATGATACTCGACGAAGAAGTCGAAGCCGAAGAGCTTGCTGATCCACTGGTGCTGCGGCACGGTCGATAGCCGTTGGTCCAGCAAGAACTTCAGGCTGTAGTGGTCCGTGCGAATGTGGAAGGATCGTCCCCACAAGTACGGCCGCCAATGACGAACGGCCTGTAAGGCCAATGAGCTCCCGCTCGTATGCTGCCAGCTTAAGATGGCGCGGAGCGAAGGGCCGGCTGAAGAAAGCGAGGGGCCCATCGCCTTGATGAAGCACGGCGCCGAACCCGGCGCCCGAGGCGTCACAGTCCACCACAAACGGGCGGTCGAAGTCGGGCATCTGGAGGACGGGGCCTGTCGTGAGGGCCCCTTTGAGGGCCTCGAACGCCGTCACCGCCTCGTCGTCCCAGGCGAAAGCGTCGCGGCGAAGCAACCGCGTGAGGGGCGCCGCGATGAGCCCGAACTCCCGGATAAATTTCCGGTAGTAGCCGGCGAGGCCGAGGAACCCACGGAGAGCCCGCGGCGAGTGAGGCGTCGGCCATGCAGAGACGGCCGCCACCTTGTCGGCGTCCATAGCCACCCGGTCGGCCGAGATGACATGGTCGAGGTAGGCGACGGTAGGTGTCCCGAACGAGCACTTCGAGCGCTTAAGGTGGAGGTGGTGCGCTCGAAGCTCGTTGAAGACAATGGCGACGTGCTGGAGGTGCTCGGCCCAGGTGGCGCTGTAGATAATAATGTCATCAAAAAAAACAAGCACAAACGCCGTAAGTAGGGTCGAAGGACGTCGTTCATCAGGGCCTGGAAAGTTGCCGAGGCGTTGGCGAGGCCGAAGGGCATCACCAAGAACTCGAAGTGGCCATGGTGGGTGCGAAACGCCGTCTTGGCGATGTCGTCTGGATGCATGCGCACCTGATGATAGCCCGAGCGGAGATCGAGCTTGGTGAAGAAGCGCGCCCCATGGAGCTCATCCAAGAGCTCGTCGACCACCAGTATAGGGAACTTGTCCTTGAGCGTGAGCGCGTTCAGGGCGCGGTAGTCGATGCAGAAACGCCACGTGCCGTCCGTCTTGTGGACGAGAAGCACCGGTGCGGAGAAGGGTGACGTGGAGATCCGGATGATGCCTGCCGCGAGCATAAGGGCACACTGTCGCTCCAACTCATCCTTCTGCAGCTGCGGGTAGCGGTTGGGCCGAACCGCCACGGGGGTGGAACCCGGTACAAGGTGAATATGGTGGTCGTACACCCGGGCGGGCGGAAGACCCCGAGGCTCGTCGAAGAGATCGCTGTGCTGCTGCAGAAGGGGATCCAACAGGGGGTGCTCGGCCTCCTGGGACGCGGCGGCCAGCTGGAGGTGTGGCACGGCCGGCGCGGCGCCCCCAAGGCCGTCCCACCGGATGCGGCGGCCTAGCTGCCAGAACATCATCGTGAGCACGTCGAAGTCCCACAGGATGGGCCCGAGGGTCCGGAGGAAGTCCACCCCGAGGATGAAGTCGAAGCAGCCGAGGTCGATCCCTGCACAGGTAATGGAGAAGTGCTCGCCACAGATGGAGATGGGAACGTCGCGGGCGAGCCCATGACACTGGAGGCGATCACCGTTTGCCACCGTGATCCGCAGGCGCTCCCCGCTCGTGGTCGGCAGTGCTAGTCGATGCATGGTCGCCGCGGGTAGGAAATTATGGGTTGAGCCAGTATCCAGCAGAGCCACCAGCCGCTCGCCATGGATCGTCACCGGTAACAGCATGGTCCGCTCGCCACGGATGCCGGCAAGAGCGTGGAGGGAGACGACGCACGCCGTTGCCGTAGAATCCGCGGGCGCGTCCGCGGGCGCCGCGGGTGGTGGCTCGTCGGTCGAGTCGTCCGCCTCGTTGTAGTCGACCGTCTCCAAGTAAAATAGGCGGGGGCAGACATGGGTCGGCGAGTAGGGCTCATCGCAGTTGAAGCAGAGGCCCTGACGGCGACGCTCCTGCTGCTCGGCCGGGGACAACCGACGGAAGGTCCGGATGGTGGCCGAAGAGGTGGTCGCCGAGGCTGGAGGGGGCCGGCCAGGTGATGGTGCGGGTCGACTGGGAAGGCGGCCGCCCCGGCCGGCCGGTTGCTGTAGCGCCTGAGCCCGCTGCTCGAAGGCCCGGGCGTAGTACATGGCCGTCTGGAGGTCGGGGGGATCCCGGAGCTTGACGTCCACGCGGATATGGTCTGGTAATCCGCCCACAAATAACTCGGCGCGCTGAGTCGCGGAGACGCCCGGCGCATGGCACGCCAGGGCCTGGAAGCGGTCGGCGTAGTCCTGCACCGTGGATGTGAAAGGCAAACGACCGAGGGCCGCCAATCGGCTCCCGCGGATAGGAGGCCCGAACCGGAGGAGATAAAGCTCCCGGAAGCGCTCCCATGGTGGCATGCCGCCCTCGTCCTGCTCGAGGGCGTAGTACCAAGTCTGCGCCGCGCCTCGGAGATGATAGGACGCGAGCTAGGTGCGATCCGAAGCGAGCGTCTGCTGCCCTCGAAAAAACTGTTCGCACTGGTTGAGGGGGTCCTCCGTGCCGTCGTAAGTGGCGAAATCCAGTTTGGCGAAGCGAGGGGGTGTCGGACCACCGTGCCCGGGGGCTGCAGTAAACGACAGTGCATGTGCTGGGTCGGGTATCTCTGGGGCGTAGTTCGCCGAGCTGGAGGGACGATCAAATCGGAGAGAGGGCATCTGGTGTTCCGGCGCCGTAGTATACACCGGGTCCGGAGACGAGCCGGTCGCCCACGCGGGAATCGGCGAAGGCAAGGACGAAAACTGCACCTGGTGCAGGGGCCGACCAGTAGGCCGGGACGCAGGTGGTGGTGCTGGCGATGGCGGCGGTGCCTGGTGGTGCGGTTGCACCGGCGCCTGCGTCGTGGGGGCCGGCGGTGGCGCCGGGAGGGACTGCTGAGGCGGGCCTCCCAGCGCTGCGGTGGTGGTCGGCCACGCTGGCCAAGGCGTTCCCGCGGCCGGGTAGTGCGGCAGCAGGAGCGGCGGCGGGGGCGCCCCTCCGTAGGGCGCCTGGAAGGCCGGGGCGGGCCACTGTAGCGGCGGCGGCCCATAGGCGGTGGTGGCGGCGTTCGGTGGCGGGGACTGGTGCCCGGCGAGGTAGAGGCTGATGCCTCGGACGGCGTGGACGAGCTCCCGCAGGGTGCCCGACATCTCCTCAGGCGTGAGGAGCGGGGGCGGATCCGCCGTGGTGGTGACCGGCGCCGGCGCGGTAGTGGTGACGGTCCCGGACGTGATCGCCGTCATCGGCGCGGAGGTGGCCGGCGGCAGCAGTGGTGGGGCAGAGGTAGATGGCAGCGGCGGCGGTGATGGAGGAAGCGACATGATCGGCCTGGTGTCTCTGGATACCAAATTGGTAGGACTAGGGTTCCTACCAGGCCTCCGGCGTAGGTTGTATGGACAGGGAGGAGGGGGACGGAGGCTGGAGCGGGCGCGCCGGCGGTCGGGCGCCGTCGCGGCTAGGGTTGGGAGAGGCGGCTAGGGTTCCGGCTCCTTGGGGAGCCGGGCAACAGAAGATTATAATATCTTTATTGCTTGATCTCAAACAGTGTCTTACAACTAGTATTTATAACTTTAGCCTAAGATAATTTGCCTAAGATAACTTGCGGGACAAGCCTCTAATACTAATGCCCGGTGGGCCTCTTCCTGGTATAGACCTGTCCGGTCATAACAACCGAATACTGGAATCTCTATTGCTTAAATATCTGTCTACCTGTAATCATGGATCCTTCACACCGTCTGGAATGCATCAAGTCTTGTCTTCGTCCTAAGTTGTACAATTATTGTTTGAGGCGCGAATTGGACAAGGATATAAAAGAATATTTTCAGGAAGTGCATGACATGTTGATCAACCTCTTCTATGAATATTCTGATCAGGTGGGAGACACTAGCTGCACATCTGGACCTAAAAATGGCCGGAACATTCTTGTGAAGGGGGATGATACGCTGATGCAATATTATCATCATATTACCTATCCATTTAGCAAGCGTCCGATGGCAGAACTTGATCAGTACTTGCAAGAGCCACGTCCCTGCACAGGCGAGCAAACCGTTCTACAATGGTGGAAGGAACATAGCCTGACCTACCCCACAATTGCTCGGATGGCACGTGATATATTGGCAATACCAGCCAGTACTGAATGCAGTGTAGCAATAAGGACTGCAAGACGAACAATTTGTCAGTCTAGTAAACACTGGGTTGAGGAGACTGTCTGTACTCAGGATTGGCTCACATCTTATGGTACGACATACACTTGCTTTTCCGATTGTTATCCGATTACAGACCTGCACTAACCTCAACCTTTATGTTATCATAGGTTCTTTGAACGAAATGCCAAACGGTGCTCTTTTTGAGTGAATACTCCGACCTTCCGAATGTTCCATGTAAGCTGATATCCTTCTCTTCTTCCTAATTTACGTATGTAACATGTGCTACTAGCAATGGCTCAGTGTTGCCTTTCCACTGCAGTATTCAAGAACGGCAATGGAATCCTCTCACATGACTTTTGTCTAGACTTCAGACAATTTTGCGGCAGTGTGATAAGTTCATCCGATAACTTGGAATCTTTGGAGCATGCTAAGTTCATATATTAGTAGTTCTAGTTACAAATGGAAGTGGTCAGGCCTTTGTACGCCATCTGAGATTTATTTTGGCGCAAAAGTTAGAGCACTATTCCTTGTATACATTTCATCTGATTATTCTTGGCTGTTTTGTTTGGATGCTTACTCGTATCCTCTTCAAGCGCACTGCATTCACTCCATTTCCTCCAGCCCTATATTAGTTTACTTTGACTAGAATACTATTTGGTGGTTTGTGCGCCAGTTTGACTTGTTCGTCGAGTGAGGTCAGACTTCTTCTGAAACTATGATTCACCACCGTGCCTGCTCACGCTGCTCTCTGGTTTATATCATGTCCGGTGTTTCTGGTATATGTCTGCTGTATGTCTCATTATGTTAATATTGCATGTTGTACCACATGTCGTCGTCTATTGCATGGTTTACTAAGTAACTATTGAATGTCATAAATGTTTTTTTACTGCGTATTTTCGACTGCTTGTTTCTCTGTGCATTGCTTTTTTTTAAGCCTACTATTGCATATTTGTTAGTATTGATGTATAATGTGTTTTATCATATGAATCTTCTCTTTGAATAGACATCTTCTATATCTAAATAGGAGCCCCCACTACATGGTTTTCCTGCGTTTTGGTGAAGCCACGTCATCCACTAATGTCATCAATTTGATAAGCCGAGTGGGCACCTCGGCTGTGATTCTTTTTCAAGCAATGACAATTCCTTTCCGACACTGTGCACTCTCAACTTATTTTCTTCTGTTTTGGCATCTTGATGTTCAACAATCAATTGCTTCACTTCTTTGCCTTTTGTAACCAATGTTAACTCTTTAATTTGGCTCTTTATCTTTTAAGACCAAATTTGAATTAGCACTCTTGTGATCATCTTTCTTAACGTGATTAACTTGCTTGACCATCTCCTTTTTAGAGCTTTGAAACAATTCTTTTCAATTGAAACGGACTTTGACATGTGATTGTTCATCAAATGCTGGTTTTCTCGTAGCTGCATAATTTTGAGGAGATTGTCTAAAATAAGATGGAGGATGCGCTCATGAATTATACATGTACCATGATGGATAAGGAGAAAAATTAGCATATGGGTGTATCTATGACATTGATATTGGCGCCCCAAAATAAGGATATGAATATGCTGCATTAAAATTCTCACTTTGCCAATACCGGTCCTCAGATTTGCGCCTAGGGGGTGATCGTGATGTTTGCACTACTTGGCCGATAATCACTTTTTGCTTTTACTCTATTTTTGATATTTAGCTAGTAACTCTACAAAAGTAATTTTTTATTTCTTTTCTTTGTGCTTATTTTGGCCTTTGTTTTCTTTTGGTTTGCTTGCATTGATCTTTCATTTGCTTCCGTCCCCCGGTGGTTGGCGTCTTCATTGTAGCTTTGATGAAATTACCGCCCTCAAGAATATATTCGTTGTGCACTTGGACAATCTCTTTACTTGAATGCTTGATTTCATCACCTGCAGCTTTTACCTTCTCGTCTTTAAATGTATCGGCTTGAAGTAGCTGATGCAAAAACTTTTTTATTTGACCACTACTAGCTAGAAGACTTGCTATAGTAATAATGGCTAATGGTATCCAACCACATTTCTTTAAGATATCTTCCGACACTTGCACGAATTCTTGCGGACAACCTTTTTCATGAGAAAACACTCTTTTATAGAAGAGTATTCTCGATACATCATTAGAAAGAGCTCTCATTCTGTAAATATCATCAGTGGAACAACAACATGCTTCTGACACATTGACAATACGAGTTGTTGTAATCAGTTGACTTCCGATACTTTTGTTGAAGAAGGCGCAGTTGATTATTTGCCACACCTTTGTATCCCATATGTCATCAATGATAATGAGGTACCTACATAAATGTTTTTGAGAGTTAGTTCACAAATCAATCAATAAGATACATGTTCTAAGGATACTATTAGTAAAAGGCATCCAAGTGCAAATGACCAAGAGAACTCAAAGAACTATACGAACACTAAAAAATTACATATAGTGAATCAACAAATGGAAGATGAACTTCAGACCATAGTACAAACTGATCTCTGACATTATAGTTTACGAGTCTGGAATAAACACCGAGTCCGAAATAAAGCTGTTACAAATAAAGGAGTGTAACGAACAATGCTGGAGAGCAAGTCAACCAGGCATCATCAGTGCATAATAAAGAATGGTTCATCAGAGCGAAATGCAGGGTGTGCCCTACAAACTCAATGGTTCTTGAATTGGTGTAAACATGAGTGGACATAATGTCGGTTTCATCTTGTTGGAGAAGAAGGACGGATCAAACAGCAAGGCAAATGCAGTGTGCTTGACTGTATTGTTTGGAAAAGAAGCGGCACCGGAGTTGGAGGCACGCACGATCAGCGTCCCTGTCGACGAAATTTTCTTGCCCATGCTAGCTGCAGTGCCATGTTGAAGGACATACATGTGAGTGGCCCAGCTAAACAATACAGAAGAAGAAAACATACTTGATCCAACAATAGAAAAGGGCACCTATACTAGTACTACTAGTACATTGCTTGCAAATTAACAACTGATGTATATATATTTATACACCATAAGTAACCAAGGCGAAATCCGCATCGCAGCTTTGCTGGAACATCAGATAGGCACATATATATATAGTGCTATCAAAAACGTAGAGATGTGGATTGTGGAAGCACATGCATACAAATGGTTCGGTCAAATGTTCTGAACAGAAAATAAAAGACACAGGGTTCATCCAAGTATACAAACACATAGTGGGTTGCTCGCTAATCTGGACTACTTCGCATGCGTTATCTTGTAGTAGCATGCAGAAATGACAATTAAGGGGCCCTCGTATCTTTGCAGCATAAACCAAGAGGACAACGCTGAATAATTTTAGGCTTTAGGGGCCTGATCGATAGAGCTAGCTAGATTTTTTTTTTTGAAAAGGGGGTATTCCCCGGCCTCTGCATCAGATCGATGCATACGGCCTCTCTTATTAACCAAATAAAAAGGGTTCTGAACAGGAGTCTTACAAACAAAGGAAAAAAAAGCAGCCTATAGCTCACATAGAGCATCGACTGTAAGGCAGAAATGAGATAAGCCACAAACCGGCTTGGCATAATATCAGGTAGGTAAACTAGATGCCTATCCTATTACATGATCGCCATCCAAACCGGTTGAAGATATCCCGCGCTACCGTCTCCCACCGGACAGATCCAGTAACCAAACGCTCCCTGGCCTCCGTCGGAGTGAGTAAGGACCAAGTACGGATCAGCGTCGTAGCCCGGAACAACACCTGCAAAAAATGAGTATTTGTTGTCCTGTTAAAAACCAAATCGTTCCTGCAATTCCAAATTGCCCATAATAACGCACATACTCCTACACGAATGTGTCCGGCTATTTCGGGCTCCATCCCAAGCAGCCACGCCCCAAATAACGTGTTTACCGATTTCGGTGGAGTAATATTAAAGGCAATTTGCACGGTGCGCCACAACCCTTGTGCCAACGGGCAATCCAAAAATAAATGCTTGATAGTCTCATCCCGATCACAGAAGCTACACCTAGTAGATCCTGTCCAGTTGCGCTTAACTAGATTGTCCTTTGTAAGAATAACTTGTTTATGCACAAACCACATAAACACTTTAATCTTCAAAGGAACCTTAACGTTCCAGATTTCCTTGGACGTAGGTATCACGGATGAATTAATAATATCAATATACATCGACTTGACCGTGAACACCCCAGTTTTAGTTAGTTTCCAATACAACTGGTCGGGCTGAGGATTTAGCTGCACCTCCATCAGCCTACGGACCAAGTGAAGCCATGCTTCCCATCTAGGTCCAACAAGCACTCTCCTAAACTGTATGTTGAGGGGAATAGACTGCATTACTGTGGCAACAAGAGCATCCCTATGCTGAACAATACGATATAGTGTTGGATATTGTGAAGCCAAAGGCGTGTCACCCAGCCACGTATCCTCCCAGAATCGCGTGTCATCTCCATTACCAACAAAACATTTCGTTCTGTTGAAGAAAGCGGCTTTAACCCTCATGAGCCCTTTCCAGAACGGCGAATTTGTAGGTCTCATAGTGACTTGGGATAAAGTCTTTGAGTACAGATATTTACTACGTAAAATCTGCGCCCAAGTTGCCTCTGTCTCAGAAGACAACTTAAACAGCCACTTACTCAGGAGGCATTTATTTTTGACTTCAAGATTTTCAATACCAAGTCCTCCTTGGTCCTTTGGTCTGCAAATAATATCCCATTTTGCCAATCTGTACTTCCTCTTAGACTCATCACTCTGCTAGAAGAAGCGAGAACGATAAAAATCTAGTCTTTTCCTCACCCCAACTGGTACTTCGAAGAAAGATAGCAGAAACATAGGTAAACTCGTGAGCACCGAGTTAATCAGAATCAACCGGCCTCCATAAGACATGAGTTTTCCTTTCCAACAGCTTAGTTTCTTCTCAAATCTATCCTCGATGCACTTCCACTCAGCATTCATTAACTTACGATGGTGTATTGGAATACCAAGATAAGTGAAAGGAAGAGACCCACTCTCACACCCGAACAATTGTGTATAAGCTTCCTGTTCGTCTTTGGCTCTACCAAAACAGAACAATTCACTTTTATGGAAATTAATCTTCAGCCCAGACAATTGTTCAAAAAGGCATAAAACTAGCTTCATGTTCCTCGCTTTGGCCAAATCATGTTCCATAAAAATGATTGTATCATCAGCGTATTGCAGGATGGACAAACCACCATCAACCAGATGAGGCACCACTCCCTCC